CTAGTCATCACCACCCACCGTCAACCTTTAGGTCACTATTTTACCAACGAATAGTGAGATTGAACGTAACATTATAACGCCCCCACGGCTGAAAGGGCGAGCATGTTTGGTGTGACGGGGATTCGAACCAGCGACACACAATTGCGTGAGCTGATGTAGAAAGCCTACTTCAATCTTTGCATTTTATAATTCGTTTTCTATATTTTCCTCTGTCACTGATGTTCTTTTTTCTACTTTTTCAAATTTCTATACTTCCCCTATAGCTTCAGTGATTTGTGCTCAGTGAAATTTATTTCCATTTTTAATTATTCTTTAAATAGTATATATCTTTATTATTGATCTTTTAATTTTCTCTAAATTATTCTTTGTTTTCCTGTAATTTTCTATCTCTTTCTTCTTGGTCCTCATTTAAGTTTCTGTCAATTTCTCCCTGATCTTGTCTTAATAATTTCATCATCTCAAGTAACGCTTCACTTCACCTACTATTCCTGCCAACAATGTCCACCGGACTAAGAACGTAGACTCAGGCATCAACATAAACATCTCCTCACCGTTGTAATAGATTCCCTGCTCGACTTCATTCACCTGTCCTCTCTCATTACACGACTTAATAATAATAAGTCTGCCCAACATGAACACATCCAGAACACCAAACTAAGAACACTAGGTACTCTAAATGTTACAGAGATCTTTAGTTCTGCTTACCTTTGACCAAACTCTCATATGCTGATTACTTTGCCTCTTCAAACTCCTTAGCATTACTAAATGGACGACTGTACCTAAATACCCCAAATATTTATGTCTTTCTTACTTAGGTAAGCAAGGCTTAATTCTTAAATATCAACTCACTGAACTGTTATACAAATACAACACAAACATTCAACTGTGAATTATTTTTGAATTAACATACAAGATGAAACATTTTTTCCACGTGAAAGAATGCATTCTGAACCTACTTCGTTCATGGATTGTTTACTCACATGTGTGTTGTAGCTGCAAAGTTACTGAAGTTGGCAAAACCAAATGCCATTTAAACATAAGTATCCATGAACACATGGAGATTTTCTTTTATCCACACATACACACAATCAAATTACTGGATGCAAATTCTCTTCAACTGACTTTTAAGTTTTAGCTAAGTATCACCTAGATTTGGAACTTCTCATTAAAAGAGACTACTCATTAATCCTCATCAGCACATCTGGGATCCACATAGACCCCAACAACTTTCTTTATTGTATATCTTTTTACATAATCATTACAAATTTATATCCATTCATGTAATTATCAAGCAGAAACTATTGTTTTTGAAACAGGCAGAGTATGTAGCTATAATCTAACATTTATATGGGGTCCATGTGGATAACTCATCAAAATAGTACAGTATCATCTCATCTGTTTGCTTATAACATCATTGTGGTAAGCACATATGCACATTCATTCCTCAACAAGTGTTCTCTGTAATGACAGCTTATAATATCCTATTTTTATAGAAATCTTATTTGATTATTTTTGTAAATAACCTGCTTATTGGATTTCAAATCCATAGCCTATTATAAGGGTACATTTGTGTTAGGGTCTGGTTGGATCCAAGGTGACTCACAACGTATACTTTCCATTTTCTTCAAGTTGAATTTTGCAGTATTGTGGTAATCTCATCATATATTGGTGGACAATGACTTGAATATACGAGTATAATAAAAATTTGGCATTTTTTTATGAACTGTTTGCATAAGGAATGGTTTATTACTACTTATTTGTATACTGGGAACAATCTAATTTGGGTAATTTCTTGATTTGTCAACTTATTTCCTTTAGAATACATATATTTTTAAGTTGTTCATATTGCATGCTAACCCTAATGAAAGTTGTAATGCAATTAGTTTTTGGAATTTCAATCCAGAGCTTACTATAATGATAACTTTGTGCTGGGGGTCCATTTGGACCCCAGTTGTTCCATAACATAAGGTGTGCTGATGAGGGTTAAACAAAATCTTCCTAGCTTGAATAATAAACTCAACTTTTGTTTGAGTTAAGCTTGTTTTAATTCTTTCTGATTAGTTAGATATATAATTTTATTAATTAATTTAGTTTTCCACTAATTTTGAAAAAAAAAAAGGTTTCGCTGAAATTCAGTTTCTTAGCCATTTTCAACTCTATGTAAGACTTGTAATGTGCGTTAGCAACCATGTTTCAAGTTTTGAAACTTGTATGTTTTAGCAGTATCCTTATTTGGTTATATATTTATAATATTCCTTTTATCCTCTGTTATTCAAAAAATTGTATTTTGAGAAATTGACTGTAAGATAATTATTTTATAAGTTAAGTAGAACACATATGTGATGAAAAATCAATTAAAAAGCAAGCTATGTTTTTTTTTGCTCCATTTTAAACTGTTATTGGTATATTAAATTTTAATTTACAATTAAAATCTAGATAACTAAGCAAGTATTTCTGTCTTTCACTGCATATTTGTACCTTTACAATAACATCTTAAACTTGTCATTTTTACAAAATTAATAGTAAAATTCATGTGTTGAGACTTCTATACATATATGGTTTAACAACAAAAAATTATATATAAACACTTTATTCTGGACATTTCTTAAGTGGGAAATAGTATGACTGATAAAAAAGTATCAAATTGTGGTAAAAAAAGAAAAGTCACAAAATCTGTAAGACAGCTTTTATTCATCCAAACTTACAGACTTTTGATTCAATTCATTCTGTATGTAAATCGTCCTGTCTTCAAACTGAAAAATCTAAGCCATCATTTCTTCAATTATACCTTAAAATAATACTTACAAAAGTAAATGAGTACAAAAAATTACTATAAACAATGAGGGGTATTATCATTGGTGGCCATTTTGTGAACCCTTCGTTTTGTACTGGATGAACCGTACAAGATTGGTTTTGGCTGTCATTATAATAAGCTTATGTTCTCCCAACGATTTCTTCTGGTGTTTGATCTAATGAAACAAAAACATCATATAACAGTGATGGCATAAAATGAATTCCACATTGATGTACCAAGAAAATGATACATACATCAGCACAAAAACGAAAATATGTTTGACTCATTTACTCATATACTCTAGTAGTTTCTCAGTTCATCAAAATGAAATATCTGATTATAGTGTTAGTGACTCACACACATGTAACTTTGAAAATAAGATATTTCTTAATTCAGTGGAAATAAGAACTTTAGAAGTTTGAAAGAAACAAAATCTTAGTAATTGCATACAAACATTTTTATAGCAAAAGCAAAACAATTATTATGAATTCAAGTCAGTAATGCAGTAAATTAGATTTGACTTGAGTCTTCTGACAAAATCCCATAACTGAAGGTTACCAGGATTGATCTAAGGTCTTACAGGACGTAAGATACTGGGACAAAACGACACTGTCAATATTTTTAATGATACTGTTAAGTTTCACTTTAATCTTCATCATATGCTTATTTATTTCCAATTTCATATCCAAGCTTATACACGGAAAAACAATAATAAGTTATTTAAAAACACAGTTATATTCCATCATGCTTATCTTTACTCTTTAACAATTTTCATTAAATAAGGTTGTTTTTTTTTAAAAAAGACACTAATAATAGACCTTCAAGTGGGTTTCTACTATATTACAGGGTGGTCTTACTCTAAAATATGGAGATTTATAGGGACATTAAAGGTACTTATACGAAAAGTAAGCTAAAACATGCATTGTGGAATACTGAATCACCAAGCTGGTCTCCCAAGGTTTAAAATATCAAATTGTTTTTAGTCATTCTTTTGTCTCCTCAGTGTTTCTGTCAATAAGTAGTTTATTTTGAAGAACTAGAAGTTTGTCCATAAGCCCCTCATTGGTCCAAAAGTCTATAAAATTTCTATCCCCCTATCTTATGTAAATTAAAAACCCACAGTATTAATTCACCATCCTGAAAGATTTTAGTGACAGATAGACAGAGATAACTATTTGAAATAAAATGACCAATCTATGGTCAGATTATAGAAATGCATGAACTTACAGCATTGAATATTATTAGCAAAGATCAAAAGAGCATAAAATTTCTTTCAACTTCCATTGGGGAAAAAGGATATATGGCTTATTTTTACCTACTGAAGTGATAAATCAATGTATGTCTTTATTCAGGTGTGTACCTCAGATAAAATTAGATTCCATAAAAATATAGATTCATAGAAATTTTGTGAAAAATATGTTTGTTTATTTGTTTCAAATTTAGTGCAAGGCTACTCAAAGGCAGTCTTCACTAGCAGTCCCTAATTTTGAAGTGATAGATTAGAGAGAAGGCAGCTATAGTCAACACCATCCAATGACAGCTCTCGGGTTACTCTTTTACCAACGAATAGTGGGACAGAGCGTCACATTATAATGCCCCTGCTGATGAAAAAGCAAGCATGTTTGGTGATAGGGATTTGAATCTACGGCCTGGGGGGGGCCTAGCATAGCCTGGTGGTTTGGGCACTTGACTCGCAATCTGCAAAAGTGGAGATTTTGAAATGGAGAGGAAAATTATAAATTTTTATAAAAATTCTGAAAACATTAGAGTATATATGTGAATACTTCTTAAAAATCTGTTAAGAGCTACACTGTTTAGGTATGAAGCACTTAAAACACTTAATTGCTTTCATTAATTAATTTATGAAAATATCTTACCTTAGCTATTAACATAGGAAGAAACTGTCTGAGTTTGTCAACCAAACCAATTTCTTGTGCCATTGGGTCTAAATGGTCTTCACCAAACACATCTAATATTGCATCCAAAGCTTCTGCTGTAGTCCTGAGACCTGAATCTCTGTGAATGATTTCTAGAAGGTACAACCCAACATTCTAGAAAGAAAATACTATTCTAAATTACAACAAATAAAATTATAACCAAAACTCACTTTTAGTCAACTTTTTAAACAGATTTCTTAAGTAGGGTTTATAACTTAGTTCAGTGAAAACTGGAAGAAGCATAGTTAATTTAAAAATTATTTGACTTAATGTGATTATATTAACTTTATCTAAAACAATAATAATAATATTAATTTATTTTGTGTATTCTTAAGTTGCCATTGTTCTATTATAAATAAAAAGATACAAACTAGCCCAATATGTTGGGTTAAAATACACTCACCAGATGTAAAAAGCAAAAAAAAGAGTACACTTTAGAAAAACAACACTTTTAGGTGTAATATACCTTAACATATTGACTGCTGATTCACTATATAAGGCATGGTCTGCCTCCAGCAGTTGAATGCAAGTGTGCTGCACACAGTGTACGACTCACAAAAATTTCGTGAGCATAGAAAGTAGCCACAGTCAAAGGGTTAAATAACAATTAAAAAGTGGGGAGTACTCACCTCAATATTTTTTAATAATGAACAAAATAATTACAATTGGAATGAGAAGAGAAAGAACTGTTTGATATAAAATTTGTCTAAGAGTGAAGATACGAGAATACACAAAACACTGATGAACAAAATAACAAAAAAAAAAAAAAAGAAAGAAGAAGAAGCAAAGATGTGTCAAAAAACAAATAATGCAATAAAGAGAGAGAACACATTTATGACAGTGAATAACTAGGCATACAAATATATTCAGTATAATGTAAGAAATCTTTCAGGTTAGAGGAAATACGATAACATTCACAAGAACTCAATAATGATGTTTAAACCATTGATTGAACCAAAAAAAAAAGATTTCCTGAATAAAACACACAAGAAACTATAATACAATTATTGAAGCCCAATAAATATTCAATCTACAACACCGCTACCTTGGAGAAATTTTACTTCAACTCCAGCAATAAATACAAAATTCAAAGCGAAGGATATTTAAAATAAAAAAGTAAAACATAACAGTAAATATCAAGTTTATAAAACAGAGTTTTATATCATTAGAATTTTTCTCTCTCTTTTACTAAACCCCCAAATTACCAATTTGTTTAAGGTACTGTTCACTACTGATGGGTCTACATATTGCATGATACTGAGCAACTAAGTTTTTGCCTATCAAAACATTCAGGATAAAAAAGTGATAAAAACTGAATGAAATTATTCAATTTCTTTATAAAATAAACAGGAAACCCAGGAGTAAGAAACAGGCCTAATTACAATAACATCTAAATATTTTGGGTGCTTTACTTATTATTAAGAATTTTGTATCTCACAAGCAATTTCTTTGCATAAAACATTTAAAAAGCTATCTTTAAAATTGTGATGAGGTCCACATGTACCCAATAGATAATCAATGGGTTAACATACAAGTAAATCTATGAGCTAAATACAGAACTTACTCTTTATTTAACAAACTAAGTTTTATAAAGTTATGAATATTATTCATGTTATAAAAAAATTATCTTTAAGAAATATGCTATTTTAACTATATAAAAGAAAGAAATAATTCAAATATATTCATGTTTTAGTACACACACTAACAAGTAAATAAGCATAAATCAGAATGAAAGTGTTACAGATAATATCTGTAAAGTGAACTGCACAACTGATGGTCTATTTACTTTTTATTCATATACTACAGAATAAAAATATCATGTAAACTCATAGAAAAAATTTATCTAAAATGGGGACTTTTGTATTCTGAATGAAAAAATTTATAACAAGTGACTATTTGTGTATTTCTATAATCCAAATCGGTAAGATATGCTTTAAAATTATGGTATATAAGCCTGTCAGAAATATAGTTTTGAAATTAAAATGTTGTTCAGTTAAAATGTTTATAATAACAGGATTTAACTTTTGTCTAAGTATGTTACTATTACTAATATAAAGTCAATTGCCATAACCACCATTAAAATGTTTTAATTAACATCTTTTTAAATTTCTTACTTTAGTTAGAAGCTTTGTTCCATCTTCTGGTACTGTACCAAGCAAACAGCCTAGCGTTCCAACAATTCGAACCAAATTCACTAAAATACTAGTATCAGTACATTGTCTTCCAAACTCAAAAAGTAGCTGCAAGTCTGGTAGTGTGGTCTGTTGGAACAGCGTTGAAGCTCCAGATTCTCCCAGCTTTTGTAAAATTCCTCGGACTGCGCTTGTTGCTGCTTCAAGAAGTTCACAATCTTTTGGATCTAGAATGGAAGTCATATAAGTATTATGCTTTCTTCCAGCCAAAACCTTGAGGTTTGGAAAATTACTAATTCTTCTACCTAACATACAGTGATTGGGATTAAGTGATGCATTTGATTGTGAGTTTGCTTCTTCATTGAAATGTTCAGATCTTTAGATAAAGAAATTAAAAGTTTATGATTGATACCTTTTAGTTTTAGCTTGTATCTATTGCTACTGCAAGAAGCTCAAGTATTTTAGTTCTCTATTAAGATAAAATACAGAGATTATAACAGAAAAGTTTTAGTTTGAAGCTACAAAATGTTCAGTTATTTAACCCTCCAAAAATCATAATCTTAAGTGTTTTAGCCTGTTCTTATTGTTGCTGTCTATTCTAGAACATATATTTCAGTCTCCATTTATTTCCACTGTGATGACATCACTGTTTAGACTTTAAAAGCTGTAGGTTTTAGGCTAAGTTAATTTCAGTCATTACCAATAAAACATTGATCTCCAAAAGATAATCTATATATTTATTACACTATGCATTTTGACCTGTGAATGTAATTATTATTTTACTTATAGTAATCTATGATTGATTTTTAAAAAAATTGTTAAAATTAATTTACTTGTCATTAGGCATTAGGATTACGTCTATCGCATTTATTAACCCATTAAAAGCTGATTTGCTGTATAGGGTATGGTCAGCCTCTGGCAGTTGAATGCAAGTGTGCCATATACAATGTATGGCTTGCAAAAATTCCCCACAGTTAGAGCAGTTGCAGTCAATGGGTTAACAATGCATTCTGTATCTAGTACATTAGAGATTTAAGAATCAGAAGAGTGGATAATAGTAGAGTTCCAACAACATTATATTTGCTAATCCCTCAAATATTATAAATTTTGACAGAACTTCCACATGTTTATAATAAAAAGATTCTTGCAAAACTGTATTTTATCTGAGTAAAATGGTATTAATTTAGTACGTAGATCCATGTGTTCCTCTACTTCTACCTTTTTAAACTGCTCAATTCATTTTGTCAACTTTCAGTTTAAATTCTACTTTATATTATGTTTCAAATACTTGAGATTTCTTTGCTATTGTTTTAATTCACATTTGATAAAGACAGGCTTTTAGAAAAATTTCTCATCACAGCAGTTCTGTACATCAAGATCAATTTCATACTTTGGGAACCAAATCCCATTGCTTCCCATTCTAGCTGACTCACGTTTCTAACAGGATTGATTCTATAAAGATGTGTTTTTGTGGTAACTAACAAATGGTAGAATATTTTATACATTTTAAGCAGTCAGTCACTTGTGTTCTTTTCTCAGCAGCATGAAAAAGGAACAAAAAAGTTGAGTAATGTTTGTTAAGTGATAAACTGTATTGAATATGTAATGCATCTTTCATAAATAATTTATCAAATAATTAGTTTTTAATGATTTCTAAAACAATGGATACCTTTTTTTTTTTACAAAGATAGCTCATAATATGAGCTTTTTTTTTAAATTTCAGACTACTTCATGATTGTTTCTAAAACATGCAAATTCATAGAATTATTAAATACAATTTTCTTGATTCTTTCTGTTTACCTTTTTTTAGTATAATTACTGTTCATAACTTCACTGTTTATCACCACTGCCTTTGAGAAAAAATAGCATATCATTGACGTTCAAAGAGATACAAGATATACATTTTGTTAAAATAAACAAAAATTTAACACTCTACATTTTCTTATTTTTTTCCAAAATATGAGTTCCAAAACAAGGACTTATGTAAGCCTTGCTTGAAGAAACTTTTCTTTTCCTAGGAAAGTACAATACGGTGCCTTATGTTTATTATAACTTCTGCTACTACCTAATACTAAAAAGTTTCTGCAATTAGAATTATTTGGTATTACCAGTTTGTTTAAAGGCTAGCTGTGCTAGGTGAATCCACATATTGTAGAGATTTGTGGAACTTCCCAAATCCTCTTTGTCCAGTCCTTGAGCAAGATTATTGATGCATAAGAAGGCACGGCATCTAACTGTTTTCACTCTGTAATACGAAAAAAAAAACACTAGTCAATACAGATAACACTATTCTCATAAAAAACAGCAAATCATAATAACTCTAGAGCTTTTTCATAAATACATAACAATAAATAATGTACTTATTTTGTTCACAGATATAACATGATCTAAATATTCTGCTAAAATCTTAGATTTTTATTTAACAATGAAATTTCTTAGATCAGAGAAAGTAACCATGTGTTTCTGTTTAACAAAAATGTAGAATTAACAATACTGGACTATGTATAAATTCATATTAAGTAGATTTTGAGGGCAATAAGATTAGTTTGTCAGCATATTTATGCTATTTTTTAATTTGAAAAAACAAACAAAGAGTATTTGCTTCATAATCTAAGATAACATACAATAGTTTTTACATTATATTTAAATAATTACCAGTTCGTATTTAACATTGACCTTAATATACTGGGGATGATTATTAATTCTTAATTCAATCAGGTATTTCCAATTTTGTTTTAAAAGTAGTATATTAAGTTTAAGCAGTTGTTTTTTTTAAGCTAATTACATAAGCTTTATAAAAGTTGATAATTTGGTAAAGAATTTTTTGTCTCAGCAGCATCAATTGGCATGTGAATTCATCTACATCTAAAATTATGTAAGGTGGTTTACTTTTACAGAAAATAAAATGAGATTTTGATCATTTGTTTTATTATTTATTTTTAAAAAATTAATGAATAAAATAGGTATAAAACATATATATATTATACTTCATATCTGGGTAAAAATTACTAGTTCATATGCTTAAAATTTGGTTAATTAATGTGGGAAGTTATTTTACAATTACCTTTTTTTTTGTGGTTACCATAATGCTTAAATTACATTTTCACCATTTATCTAAATGTCATAAAGTTATCAGTATTAATTCTACATGTACAATCTCTTACATCCTAAGCTACATAATTCAGTGAGTGTGTGCGCTTCCTAAACTTTTTAGGTGATTAAATTCAAATCTTTCTCTAGTTTATTTTCTAAACAGAGCCTATGCTGTGAAAAATTTTTAATTTACTCTTTATGAGTTCTAAGCATAAGATTACGTTTATAAACTATTGTCTTCCCCTTCAAAGTTGGTTTATCCATGAAACAAAATGATCAGTAAACTTGTATTTAAAACCTGTTAAATTAACCGATTTCCTATATTTTCATTTACTGAACCTGGATAGAGAAAAAATTATAGCTCTATGTACTTTATATCCTACACTGTATTTCCTCTTTGATTGAATAAAACGTCTAATACCAGTGTCTTTTCTGGGAAAATCTTAATGATTTCACTTCTCCACAGGATAAGATATAGGGTATGGTTTAAACTTTAATTAGTGTATTGTTTTGAAACTAACGACTTTTACCTTTTTAGTATATTCTGTCCTTCTTTATGTTTTTCTAACACAGATGGTATTTCTTCATCTAAAACATTTGTGTGATCTAACACCTTATTCACCAAGTCCTGTGAGACCAGTGCTTCGTGGACTTCACACGGAATAGTAGCAGGAAACTAACAAGCAAAAAACACAAAGTTAATAAATGACATTGGCAACTTCACATTATTCATTTAAAAATTCATCAAAATTGATTACATAAAATCAAATAACTAATTTGACTTTAATTATAAGTAAAATAGAAAATTACCAAAAAAATGTCACCCTCAGAAAAGTGAATTTTTATGATGATGGTTTGTTTCAGAATGTTCACACAAATGGTTGGCTATATGTGTGTAGCTGTCTCTAATTTTGAATTGATAGACTAAATGGCAGGCAACTCATCAACAGCACCCACCAAAAACTCTTGGGCTACTCTGTCATGATACACCCAGATCTCAAAACATTATTACATAAAAAATACATTTACTCCTAGTAATTGTTACATGTAAATATGTACATTGACCATCAGAAGACTGTTGCCTGACTTTAAACCTGTGACTAAAACCGCATGTTAAATTTTCTATATTGGTTTTTGACCAGTTTGGCCCAAAAAAAAAAGAAGAAAATGAGTGCAAATTAACCTTAATAATTAATCCAAAGCTCTCAGCAGAACACAATCCTTTTCATATGAAAAACTGATTAAATAAATACGTTACCACACTCAAATTTTTTTCCGAATATATCTTAAAAATTATCCAATTAAAAGCTGCAGCAGATTTCCGATCCTTATATCCAAACTATTAGTAGATAATGTGTGAAAGAATCAAATACATCAGACCTTTTCATCTGCTGCATTGTCTTCTTCCATGCTTATATCCAATATCATCTCTTCACTAGTGTCACTGCTTCCTACATCTTCCCAGTCATCTCCATCTGTTTGCATACCAAATAATAATAATTAAACATCATAAATATGAGGTTTTGTCAGGTGGAATATTGAAAGTATCAATAAAGCTAAATCGAACTTTTTTCTACTTCAATATGTTTGCTATGACATATAATTAATGATAGTTATATTTTTTCCTCCAAGTAGCATGTTATATCAATTTAGTGTTTGTTTGTGTATAGCAAAGCTAATAAAATCATCTAGCACTGGCCCTAATTTTCAACTACCGATTACAGGGAAGGCAAATAGCCAGCAGCACCCACTCCCACTATCAACTTTTGGGGTAATCTTTACCAGCAAAATGTTAGACTCACCATCACATCATAATGGTCCCACACCTAAAAAGGTGAGCATGTTTGGTGCCCAGTTTCGATTTCATAACCCACAGACTGCAAGTTTAGTACCACAACCACCAGGCCATGCCAGGTCTATATCAATTGAACAGTTATAACTTATTAGGAATCATATGTCTAAATTAGTGGTTTTATTTTATAGGGGCAAAAGATGGAATTAAAAATTTTCTTGAAAAAGTATTTTCTATGTTTGTCATGGAACATTTAGTGTATGCTGTAGTAAGCTGATAACAGTACATTTCAGCTCCATAAAACACTATTTTTTAGTGTTTTATTATTTACTTGCTTTGAGAATTCTATCACAATATGTTCACAAAAGGTGGAACTACATTCTTCATTAACAGTTCAGGATACTTAAACAATGGCAACCAAAAAAAATCTATGTTTCAAACCTCAAACTAAAAATAAAAAAGTGATTTAGATCAATTTCTTGAAGCTAATAATCACACATGTATTAAGTGTAGTTTAGTAAAACCAAGTATCAAGTTTTCATTTTAGTACATGGACTTTAACACCAAGAACAAACTAATTTCTATTAAACTAGATTTGGGGAAAAAAATAAAAATTTTCAGTACACAGATGACGAAGTTAATACTGTAATTACCTTCTGAGCACAGAATGTTTGTTAAAATCTCTAAGGCAATCTGTTTGGCTATTAATATATCTTGAAGTTCTCTGGCACATGTAGTCAACAAGGTTTCCTTAAAGAAAGAATGCAATTAATGAAAGTGTATTATTACTCATTCTAGCTAAATCTGATTTAGTAATGCTTGTTCATACATTTTTAACACTAACTAGCAAAATTAAATCCAAACAATATCAGAAGCAAAGCCCAAATAACATAAGTCTAATGGTAACTTTTCTCTACAAAGAGCATTTTGTTTTCCAATTATTTTTATTTACAAGTAAATGATTATGAGATCCTGAAAAAACTGGTAACATCTGTCAGAAATATGGATGAAATTCATAAATTTTAAAATGTAAATGTACATTATTTCTTGTAAGCTAATTGGATATTTGAAAAAGAAAAGAATGTTTAAAAATCACAGTTCTTTTGTACGCACTTTTGGTTTACAACAGGTCTAGTGTGAAAGTGGTTAAGGAATAATACAGACTAAAATCAAATATACTTCTGAGACTTCTTAATAATACAAATTAGAAACATGCAACTACCTTCTGTATTAAAGTCAGTCAGACAAACATATTGATGTTCACCATTAAAAAAGAGGATCAAATTGTTTTCTTCTGGGGTGAATTGTGCATACAAATATCAATGATGATGTAGTTTTCTAAATATTATGTTGCAGGTAAACTCGGAAATCCTATTGCTTGCTGAACATACTATATATATATATATTTCTTTTTTAACTGTTCACTCCTAAAGCATGTACTGGTTTATTTATATGAAGTGTAATGCTCACTGAAATATTAGCTTTGACAGCTAAAAAAATAATCTTCTGTTTCCGATGCAATTTCATCATTTTTTCTTTCTTGCTTTTTTTTTTAAAGTTGTCTTACCTTACTTTCTAATTCTGCTATGTTTTCTTTCTTTTTATCTTCTGCCTACATGTTGATGAAACACAAAGTTATTAATTTGAAGTTGTAGAAAAAAATTAATTAGTTTTCTTTTCCTATGCCCCATTGACAAATGGTTAAACACATCTCTGTACTATATCTATTGCCCCATAGACTTAATATAAAATAAGTATAACTACACAAAAATGTAAAAAGAATTTTACTTTCAAAACAAATCCCAAGCAAATTATTGATAAATTCATTAAAAACAAATATGTAAATTGTATATCATATAATGTTTGCACCTTGAATAATCAATCATATTTAACTATAGAAGTTTATGCCTGGTAATTTATAGCAATGTCTTATGAGGGTTAAGAGTAAAAGAAGTTGGACAAAAAGCTGCCACATGAAGATATTCTGGTTCCCAAATAAAATAATTCCTTATAGTCAATTCAAATTTGTTAGTTCTTTTTACCTTATCAAAACTTCCAATGAAAGTGAAAGTCTTAGCAATTTTATTGAATCCATATCTAACTCATGTTACAAGTATCAAAACAACAATTAAATCTTGTAGTTTAATGAATTTTTCAAGACTTATTAATGATCAATTTAAATTAGTTGACACTTCGAAATATTTGTGATAATTCTATCTGCACAAAAACAAAAAACTGAAGTAGGTTAATTACAAATATATATATCCCCTAAATTGTTATGGTGTTCATGCTTTTATATCAATAAATTATTTTCTTTTACACATCACATCATTTAACATATTACTGAATTTATGGCTTAAAATATTGCTCACAACAAGTGAATAAAACTGATGATTCAATGCATTCTAATCATTAAGCATTTGTGGGTGTGGACTGATTTATGGTATTACATACTTCTAATTAGTTTGTCATATAAACTTGGCTTTATTAATTAGCTCTGGACCAAGTTTCACAAAAGCATCTCAGGAAAGAAGTTATTCCTAAGAAATAACTTAAGAAAGTTCTCTTTCCTAAGTGTTTCACAAAACGTTTCGTACCTAAAGAAGCTTCTTAAGTTATTTTCCAACTTTAATATAAGTAAGTAGGTGTCTTAAGATTGAACTAAATATGGCTACCAAATAAAAATGCATAGAATAATTATTCTAATTTTAACATAACTAACACCAACACTTAAAGTTATTTTTAAGTAAAACATTATTAGCTTAAAAGAAAGTGAGAGAAAAGTGACTACTATGACACAAGATTGAAACATTTTGCTTCTTGCAAAAGTACTCCATATCTTATGGAATTTAATGTTATTTCTTTTTCTGAGAAAAAAACCTTGTTAGAATTTATGAAAACTAAAAATAATAATTGATTAATGAAATATTAGGGTATTTTTGTAAGAATTCTATTAAACACAAATGATCACTCAATTTGAATTAAAATATCCATGTACTCAAATCACGTTAAGATACTTTTTAATTTGTCCTTAGCAAGACATTCTTAAGATAGCTTTGTGAAACTTAAAAGGAATATCATATATCTTACAATATTCTTAAATTTCATCTTAAGTATTGACTTAGGAAAGAACTTAAAGTCTCTAATGTGTTTTTGTGAAACCAGGCCTTGATCTATATAGTTAGTATCCTCTTGATCACAAGTTATTAAAAACAGAAAATAGTGCAGCAAATTTTAACTGGATTTCAGAAGTATATAATATCTAACTACCAGCAGCCTTCTTGTCACCATTTTTAACACTATTAACCAATATTATAATTGTTATGTTTTTTAAATTATAAAACCGATTATTTTCAGATAATATAAAAGGCAAATACAGCCACAAATGACTAAACAAGACCATTAAAGGACTATTTAATACTTGTGACATTTCTGAGAAAATTCAACACTGAATAAAAGTCAAATGAATAAAAAGATGCTTTGTCTCTTCCTTTTATTTATTCTCTGATACTGTTAGATAGACAGAAATATTACAGCTTAACCTAACTTTTATGGTGTATAATTCATCTTCTTAAAAACTGACACATACACACACATACAGTTAATAACATATTTAACATTTCCTCATTAATGCTTTTGTCCAGTTTGTGTAGATAATTGATGAAAATCAGTTATAAAACCAAATGTACATACTGTCAGTACAAAGTGAAATTTCATGTTATGAATATTGCCATTTATCTACTAATCATATTTTTAACCACACATCTACACACCAAAACTTTCTCATTCATCACGTAATTGATTCAGGGATTTCTATGAAACATTATTTTTTTCCCCTTTAACAACTATGCTACTATATATATAACATTACACATAAAATTGCAACTGCACAGAGCTAAACTGGAAGATGTAATCCATATTTAAGTCTGATTATTTAGATGCATATACTTTAACCCTTGATCAGCTTCACCCATATAATTATGCATGCTAGACATCATATCCGTCTGTGTACATATATACGTATACCAATTGTGATAATGAAAAAAAAACCTTTCCATGGATGATAAAGGGTTAACTAGAATGAAAAAACTGATTGTCTATATCACACCCACATCACCAAATTGAGCAGTAAGATATTTACCTTAATGTACTGAATCATCTCAACTAAGGTTTTCATTTTTTCTAGCACTGAGGCCGTTAGGGTAACGTTTAAAGTTTCCATCACCAAGGTAACAGTGGCTGGAGAGCATTTTACAAGTTGCCCAGAATGAACATTCAGGATAATGCCTGTTTGCAAAAATAATATGGAAAAAAAGGAATAGTTAATTCAGAACATGCACAAAAAATAAACTAACTTTTCACATTCAACTCTCTTCTTTGTGTTGAATACACATACATATCTAATACAGACTTATCCCTTTTTATGAGTGTGCACCAACTGTCTCAACTACACAATCTATGTAGCAGTAACAGCAATAATAGCTATTATCTGCTGTAGGCCTATTGTCTTTAAGAAAATTCTTTATGTAAATGTATACAATATGCAAAGTCAATATATCAATACTGTTCCAGACCTACAAGGGTAGTTACTATTCCCACAAAGCACAAGTAACACATAACTGACAATAAACCAAGAAATCCAACAACCAAAGCATTTTCCAACAATTGATCTTTGCCCTTCAGGGTTAAAAAAAATGTATACTTTCTTAAAGCACTAGGGTTATTGGGTTTCTTCCTTTGTGATTTATCTGATCTTTGAACCTATGTGATTTCTTAGCAAGATGAATATATGTAAGCCTATAAAAACTTGGTTTTGGATGATAAATACACTCAATGTATACTTTAAAGGTTTAAAACAAGCAAGTTTAAATTTTTATACCAATAGTACACACAAGTTTCATGAGATATTAATTTCTTCCACAAACCTTTGACTACATACAAAACACATGTCCTTAACTAAACCTTTATGTTTAAAAAAATTTAAATATTAATTCACTATGTAAAGCTCATCTTACTTAAAAAATTATTTGTATCTAACATAATGTAATTGTACAGAAAACCAAGAATAACAATAAAAAACTTATATGAAAAACATGAATAAAGAAAAATCAAATTGATAAATGAAATAACTTGACAGTTTTTGTATGGTATTGTGAGCATATTTTTCAACAAATGTACAAAGTTTTTTTTATAACAAATACAAATTCAGTGTTTTATATAATCTTATTTTTCCATATATTATACATTATTTAAACCTATCAACAACCACCTCAAAACATTCTTACTCAGTTACCCTAATTTTCACAGAATGGCTAAATTATAATTTCTAATAATTAATCTAGAATTTCTCTTTGTGGAAGAAAAAATTTTAAGGGAAAAAGTACAATATTAAGGTTGAAAACATTCCAAACTAATATTTTAGAATAAACCTTTTATACTAAACCCTTTTGAATAAAATTGAGTGCTTATTTGTCAAATAAGATTTTGTTCCATATAATTAAAAAAAAACTGTGATAAATTTAAAAGAGATGGAAAAACAGAGAAAAGTGAATTTTTAAGTTTTTTGTCAATTTTGATCCAAATCTTTCAAGTTTAAATTATAATACAGAACAATATATTGATGTTATTCATCAATCATTAATGAATGCAGATTTTGAAACTATTTATAATTTTTCTTTTATATTAAGATGACAACAATTTGACATTGTATAAAAAAAAAGTAAAGCAATATTAACCAACAAGACTGAAAGTTGTTAGCATTCATTTAAAAAAGAAAAGGAAATTTAACAGCACGTTACAAAACAATTCCACCGAAAAACTTTCACAACCACTTTTCTAGTCACAAAATCTTAAATTAGAAAATTTTTATATCTTCTCTCTCTCATCACCAGCTGTGTATTTCTCAATAACACTACACATTCCTGTGATTTATACTTTACTACAGGATGAAGTAATAAAAAAATAAATGTTTGTATTTCTATCTTTTCCATATTTTCTAAATTTACTTAAATTGGTTCAATCCTTTCTAATTTTACGTTATCGTCTAAACTTGTTTAAATTCCTTTTTTTAACAATCCAAAAATTACATATTATCCAGGGCTGTAGAAATTCCTAGGCTGCCACACTGTCCTGTGAAATCAGATATTTTTCTGAAAGAATGAAAACTGAAATGATATACAAACACCAATTTCCCTTCTTTCAGAAGAATCTCTGATTACGAAGCATGTTTGTGTTTTTTGTAGCAAAACCACAATGGGCTATCTGCTGTGTTCACTGAGGGGAATGAATTCCCTGATTTTAGCATTGTAAGTTCCACAGACTTATCGCTGTCCCATAGAGAGACAATTACAAAGCACTCTTATTATTTTTATCTTTTATTTTTTTTAAGCTTTGCAATTTTTCCAAAATGTTGGTGTATAATTACTGTTTAAATTTCAAATTTACAGACTTTTAATCGATACAGTTTGATCAATAAATTATACTATTTTTCATATGGTTTACTAAAGAATTTCAAAGTTCCACAACAATCTGTTAAACTATTAAATAGTATAAATCTAAACTTCTTTGGATAACAAAAGCTTTATTTATTAAGTTTCATATGCTATTAATTATCAAATACTCATTCAATAACATTTGCTTTACTTAATAAACCAAAACAAAAACATATAAAAAGCCATCTCAACACTATATTACCTATAACAAAAACATATAAAAAGCCATCTTGACACTATATTAACTAACCAAAACTAAAACATATAAAAAGCCATTTCGACACTATATTACCTATACCAAGTGTCTTTAGCAATAGGTTGGTTGTCTCTTCTTCAGTGGTGGAACACAGAGAGTAGATGGAATCTAACACTACAGGTTCATTCAGTTTACTGATGACTTGTTGGTTGTCTTCTGATACAGTGTGAAGACATTGGGCTATTAATAATAATAATAAAAAAATCATTAAAATAATTCCCTTTGTTCAAGTATAATTATAAGAGCTTATGAGCAAAAGAAGAGTGTATAATAATATCAGTCAACTATACTATATCTGCAAAATCCAGTGTCAATGAATACTTTTTCCCAATACCAAGGCTCATCAGGCCAGCAGAGATACAACAGACACATTAGTATTTGAGATAATAAGTTGAACCAGAATGTTTACTGTTCTTACTCGAAAATTATACCCAATGTATGGATGGTTGTGCAAGGTCTGTAACTTAGAAGTTCGAAGCTCATAATGTAAAATGAGGGCTATGCTTATAGTATAATGGTTTGAAACACCATAGAAAATTTATGAAACTTGACTCTTGATGACACATGTAGGCAAATTGATTTTTCAAAGGTCACTTCAATCAATGCTTAATAGATACATGAATACATAGGTAGACATACGCATTATAAGATTATTGACTAAATACACTAGGATGAAACTTTGCATAAATTAAAATATTTAAATTATTTTATAACATTTGATACTTGTTTTACTTTCATTATTGCCAAATTAATATGATAATTATTATGCTTAATTTGGAAATTTCAAACATGAACACCAAGTTTCCAGTTATTTATGCAACACCTATTTAAGAAGCTTATACAACTTTTATTTTTTCTTAGAATATCTACAAAAACGTAAGCTTTAATAATGTTATAAAAAACTGTCTAAACACGTCTTGCCACCATGAAGCTGCTCTGTTTGAAAAAAGTAAGCTTTAATAATGTTATAAAAAACTGTCTAAACAAGTCTAGCCATCATAAAGCTGCTCTGTTTGAAAAACGTAAGCTTTAATAATGTTATAAAAAATTGTCTAAACAAGTCTAGCCATCATGAAGTTGCTCTGTTTGAAAAACGTAAGCTTTAATAATGTTATAAAAAATTGTCTAAAGAAGTCTTGCCACCATGAAGCTGCTCTGTTTGAAAAAAGTAAGCTTTAATAATGTTATAAAAAACTGTCTAAACAAGTCTAGCCACCATGAAGCTGCTCTGTTTGAAAAATGTAAGCTTTAATAATGTTATAAAAAAATTGTCTAAAGAAGTCTTGCCACCATGAAGCTGCTCTGCCTGATACTTCACAAGCTGAGTTAAATAACCTTACTGATGAATTTTTGAAGTGAACTTATTCTATGTAGATTTTCATTACCATTATCAGTGAATCCATTTTGACATCAATCAACATTAACAGGTTTTGAAATAATGAATCCAGTTATGATTTTTTTTCCTCTTTTAGATCTTAATTTAATATCCTACATCAGGTGTACTTGTAACTCCATTCTAAATTCTATTAACTATCAGACATCATGTCAACATAAGATAACATGAATAAGAATGAAAAGTCATTAGATCTCATTTCTGCATACACGTCTTTGTTTCTAGACTGTTTGCTTTATTGAAGATAAAAAGATGTGGAAGTTGCTCAGAAGCACAGTTTAACTCAACATACAATTTGTGGAGAAAACTTACATCAAAATGTTTGATGTTTTGGTAATGCCCCTGATCATTCATTTAAATCAACATGCAGTCTGTGGAGGAAACTTACATCAAAAGATTGGATGCTTTAGTGAAAATCCTGATCTTTTTTTTTATTCATTAGCCTGTTAAAACACAATATAATGAGGTTAACAAATATTTTGTGTAAGCATGTGTGTGTCGTGTCATTAAGTGATGCTAAAAAGATAACTGTAGTAAGTGGACAGATATAACCCATAAAGAAAAATCCAGTAAAATACTTATGGTACTCATGGAAACCAGGCCTAATGTAAAAAAAATTACGTAAAAAGCCTAAATTAACAAAAACGAACTAATACACTGGTAGACAGAATGTAAACTGCATAGGAAGAAGGGGTAAGTCAAGAAGATAAATAACATGATTTAATAACCATATCACTCAGAAAATGGAATAAATTAACTAACCAGTAAACAGTTAAGAAAAGATGAAATGCAATATGGAGGGTTTGTTTGTTTTGAATTTCGCGCAAAGCTACACGAGGGCTATCTGCACTAGCTGTCCCTAACTTAGCAGTGTAAGACTAGAGGGAAGGCAGCTAGT